CATGGCTTGGGTCAGGTGCACGTTAATCCTCAAGCTGACATCTTTGCTCTTCAACACTTTAAAAAGGTCTTGTGCAGCAGATTTGCCTAATGCAATACATCGTTTGATCTCTTGACTGCTGCTTCCGTGCGTGTTGATAGTTGATCCAAGAAGAATGAAGTCCTTGACAACGTCAATCTTTTCTCCATTGATAAGAATGTTGTTTATTGCTCCAGTGGTGAGGATTTTTGTTTTCTTGACATTGAGGTGTAATCCATACTGAAGGCTGTGCTCTTTGATCTTCATCAGTAAATGTTTTAAGCACTCTTCATTTTCAGCAAGCAAGGTTGTATCATCTGCATATTGCAGGTTGTTAATGAGTCTTCCTTCAATCCTGTTTCCATGTTTTTTCTTCATAGAACCCAGCTTCTTGGATTATTTGCTCAGCATACAGGTTGAATAAGTATGATGAATGTTCTGCTTGAACAACTGCCTCTTGTTCCAGGTACAGATTCCTCATGAGCACAATTAAGTGTTCCGGAATACTCATACTTCACAACGTTGTCCATAGCTTGTTATGATCCACACAATCGAAAGCCTTTGCGTAGTCAATAAAGCACAGGTAAACATCTTTCTGATATTCTTTGCTTTCAGCCAAGATCCATCGGACATCAGCAATGATATCCCTCATTCCACGGCCTCTTTTGAATCCGGCTTGAACCTCTGGAAGTTCTCTGTCAATGTATGCTTGTAGCTGTTTCTGTATTACCTTAAGTAAAACTTTACTCATATGGGATATCAAAGAGATTGTCCGATGATTTCTGCATTCTGTTGGGTCACCTCTCTTTGGATTGGGCACAAATCCAATCAGTTGGCCAGATAGTTGTCTTCCAAATTTCTTGGCAGAGATGAGTGAGTGCTTCCTGTGCTGCCTCACTGTCTTGAAAGATTTCAATTTTTATTCCATCAATTCGTGGTGCCTTGTTCTTTGCCAATTCCTTCAATGCAACTTGGACTTCCTCCTTCAGTATCTATCATTGGCTCTTAATCATATGCTACCTCTTGAAACGGTTGAACATTAACCATTTCCTTTTGATACAGTGACTCTGTGTATTTCTTCCATATTCTCTTGATGCTTTCTGCATCATTCAATAATTTGCCCAGTTGTTGTTGTTAAGTATTATGGAGTCGGTTCCGACTCATAGCGACCCTGGACAGGGTTTCCGAGGCTATAAATCTTTATGGGAGCAGAACACCTCATCTTTCTCCCACAGAGCCACTGGTAGTTTCAAACTGCTGACCTTGGGTTTGCCAGCCCGACTTGTAACTACTACGCTACCAGACCTCCTTAATTTGTCCAGAGAATCCTTCAATAATGAAAGTTGAAGCTTTAATTTTTTCTTCAGTTCCCCTAGCTTGAGAAATGCTGAGTGTATTCTTCCTTTTTGGTTTTCTGACTCCGTATCTTTGCACATTTTGTTGTAATATTTGGGTTTTCTTTTCTAGCTGATCTTTGAAGTTTTCTGTTAAGCTCTTTTACCTTGTAATTTCTTCCATTTGCTTTAGCATCTCTTCGCTGGAGAGCAAGTTTCAGTGTCTCTTCTGACA